TTTGAAGGAGTCTACGGTACGTGCATTACTCTACTGCAAGTTAAATCCCTCTTCCTTTCCACACACACATACGCCGATACCTCTTTCTAAACGCCCTCTTACTCCTATTGAAAAAAAATGCTGGATTCGTAACTGATGTATATATATATATATAAATATATATATATATATATATATATATATATATATATATATATATATATATATATATATATATATATATATATATATATATATATATATATATATATATATATATATATATATATATATATATATATCAGGCGCGGATCCAGCATTTTTTGATGTTTGAGATAACTAACTTCCAGACATGGAACAAACTCCAAAAATTTATATGTTTATACTTATGTCAAATAAAGATGATTTGCAAAAAATTGCAACGATTGGAGTCTGGCAACAAAAAAGCCCCAAAATTTTGGCCACACAAACCCCAAACAAGAAAGCAACAAGTTGATAAAATATTTTTTGTACAATTCTTAAGTAAATTTATATTCATCGATAAATTCTAAATTTCATACAATAATCTCTAAGTGTTCAAAAAACATGACCTTACAAAATTTGTAACCCCCTCAAATTGAGGGGGGTTAAAGCTTTGTGCAATTATAATTTTTGAACAATAAGAGATTATTAGATGAAATTTAGAATTTATCGATGAATGTAAATTTACTTGAGAATTGTACAAAAAATATTTTATCAACTTGTTGCTCTCTTGTTTGGGGTTTGTGTGGCAAAATTTTCGGGCTTTTTTGTTCCCAGACTCCAATCATTGCAATTTTTTGCAAATCATCTTTATTTGACATAAGTATAAACATATAAATTTTTGGGGTTTGTACCATGTCTGGAAGTTAGTTATCTCAAACATCAAAAAATGCTGGATCCGCGCCTGTATATATATATATATATATATATATATATATATATATATATATATATATATATATATATATATATATATATATATATATATATATATATATATATATATATATATATATATATATATATATATGTATATGTATATATATACATATATGTATATATGTATATGTATATATATATATATATGTATATATATATATATATATATATATATATATATATATATATATGTATATATATATATATATATATATATATATATATATATATATATATATATGTATATATATATATATATATATATATTTTTGTATGTATTTAGGTGCTCCCAGAAGTCCTTACGGTCTTATCATAGAGCACCGCGGGAGAGCATTTAATGGAAAGTTCACGCCTCCTTCCGTACCAATGTCGCTTTTTGGGCTGGAGCTGGCGTCGAACCTCGGACCTCTGGGTTCTGTACTCTAACCACTGCGCCATGGCTGCTATAACACAAATAAAACTGTTTGTTGTGTTTTTTCCGTTTCCGTTTATTCCATTTTTTCTATATATATATATATATTATATATATATATATATATATATATATATATACATATATATATATATATATATATATATATATATATATATATATATATATATATATATATATATATATATATATATATATATATATATATATATATATATATATATATATATATATATATATATATATATATATATATATATATATATATATGTATATATATACAATCCATGATCAAATTTCTCGTCTACAATAATACTTTTTTTATTTTTTACCTTCTTAAAGGTAAAACTTTTATTTTTACAAAATTCAGATAAAAACTTTATATATTAATAAAGTATAACTATTTTCTAGTTTGAGACTAATAAAATAACAATTAGAATATGTTTATTAACATGAATTTTTAATATTTTGTTGATCCTCCCTATTTTTGTGACTGAACCAAGACTATTCGACAAGTTATAAATGCAATTTAAAGCCATTTCTTTTAAATGTATTTTATGGTTCCAATGCCATATAACGTTTTGATCAATTGGATCCTATTTGTGATCTTTTCTAGCAAAATTTCTTTCTTTAATAGATCCCATACATTTTCTATAAGGTTTAGATCTGAGGGGTTCCCTGGCCAATCCAAAATGGAACTTTTAGAGATGTCAATATTTTTTTAATGGATTTTGCCAAGTGGCATGGCGCTCCATTATGCATAAATACTTTCTTCTGTTTATTTGGAAAACGCTTTTTCAATTGAGGTAAAAGACGGGTTTTAATGACCTTATTGAATTGGTTCTGTATCAAATTCTATTCAAAATGTACAGTTAACCAAGGCCTGTTCCACTAATAACCACCCAAAACATGACTTTACTTTTCATAAATTTTTTCATTGGAAGCCTTTTTCACATATTGATCTTTTTGAGTCATAAGTTCTATGGTGACTCATCGCTGATAACACTGTACTAGGTTGGTTGAAAAGTTCGCGGAGCGGCACCTATGTTGCAGTAGTAGAAACAAATTTATAACTGTATTAAACGTATTCATTCTTCGTATGAACGCATAAAAAATTTCAAGTCGATATATCATTTCAGTCTTTGTTTACAAGCTATTGAAATTAGACATGTCATAGTATTTTTTTAAATGGAAAATATTGAACATCGTGCTGTAATAAAATTCTTTGTGAAAAAAGGTTTAAAGCCCATGGAAATTCATAATGAAATGGTAAATGTGTTGGGTGATGACGCTCCTTCAAAAACAACAGTATGCAAATGGGCTGCGGAGTTTCAACGTGGGCGTTCAAGCCTTGAAGATGACCCTCGCTCTGGACGTCCAAAAAGTGCTACTACTGAAGAAACGATTAATGCTGTGCATGACATGGTTATGGATGATAGACGATTGACCAAACGTGAAATTGCTGAGGCTGTGGGCATCTCAGATGAACGGGTATTACACATCTTGCACGATGAATTACGTCTGAGAAAGCTGTTGGCAAGATGGGTGCCGCATTCGCTAACTCTGGATCAGAAACGCACTTGAGTAAAACTTTCTCAAGAACATTTGGCCCGTTTTCAAAAGAATAAAACAGATTTTGTGCGTCGATTCGTAACCATGGATGAGACTTGGGTTTACCACTATGATCCGAAGCTGCGACAACAAACTGCAGAGTGGACAGAACCCGGTTGTTCAGCTCCGAAGCAAGTGAAGGCGTCAAAATCGTCAAAGAAGGTTATGGCATCAGTTTTTTGGGATGCGAAAGGAATTTTATTAATAGATTACCTTCAAACCGGTAAAACGATAACAGGTGAATATTATAAAAATCTTTTGGACCAGTTGGATAAAAAAATTCGTGAGAAAAGACCTGGTTTGCTGCATAAAAAAATCATTTATCACCAGGACAACGCACCTGCTCATATCAGCGATGTTGCAAAGGCGAAATTGGTCGAATTAAAGTACGAACGCTTGGAACATCCACCCTATTCACCAGATCTGGCTCCATCCGACTTCCACCTCTTTCCATATCTCAAAAAATTTCTACGTGGAAAGCGTTTCTCATCACATGAAGAAGTCATTGCAGCCGTAAATGGGTATTTTGAAGGCCTTCCGGAATCGCACTTCAGAGATGGGATACATGAATTGGAGAATCGTTGGAAAAAGTGTATTGCTCTTAAGGGAGAATATACTGAAGAATAAAGTCATTTTTTGAATCATAAAATTGTTTTTTCATTTCCGCTCCGCGAACTTTTCAACCAACCTAGTATTATAAAGAAAATTTTTTTTTTTTGCTTTGATAACTTCTTTCAGTAAACATTTTATTACTAACTTTTGTGAAATATAAAAGTTTTTTATGTAATTAATCAGTTAAGTAATCACTTTGTAGTTAAGTAATCAATTAAGTAATCAATTAAGTAATCAATTAAGTAATCAATTAAGTAATCAATTAAGTAATCAATTAAGTAATCAATTAAGTAATCAATTAAGTAATCAAATAAGTAATCAATTAAGTAATCAATTAAGTAATCAATTAAGTAATCAATTAAGTAATCAATTGAGTAATCAATTAAGTAATCAATTAAGTAAACAATTAAGTAATCACATGTAATTAATACAGTTAATTCCCGATAACTTGAACCTCCAAGGGACCAAGGAAAATGATTCGACTAACGAAAGTTTGACCAAAGCGATTATGATATCATTGATTATGATAAAAATATATGTTAGCATTAAATTACAGTTTATAAATAGCCTATATATATCAAAATATGAACATTCTATAATGGTGCTATATTTTTAACAAATTTTAGCCAATATTGAGGTAAATATTTTACCAATATTGCAACAATATTGCTTGCTACTAGGAAACTTTATCACATTTTTTCATCTTATTTCTTGTCGTCTGAACCATCATGTTATAACGACATAACAATAACATTGCTACATAACAAATGTGCATTGTTAAATTACGTAACTCGTTAAAAAAAAAGAAAATCCAATATTATAATTTGTTTTGCACTAAAAAGCGGAAAATAAACTTTTTTAATAGTTCAGTAAACTAAAGATTGAATTTTTCAATGTCTAATAAATAATAATGTAATAATAATTAATAAACTTTTTAATTTAAATTTAATAGTTCAGTAAACTAAAGATTGACTGTTTCGAAATGAATCTTATGCAGACCTGTCAATCTTTACTGAACAATTAAATTTAAATTAAAAAGATTATATTCCGCGTTATAGTACAAAAATTATAATAATTTTGACCAAATGTTTTTGCTATACTATTTTAATAAAATATAGCAGAAGCATTTGCTAAAAATTTTAATCTTTTTTGTCCAAAAAGCATGAAAAGCATTAATGCATTTCAATTACGTAGTGCATGAGTAATGCAATATGATGCAACATTCATCCAATCAAACAGATTGGATTAATGATGAGGTAATATTTATCCAATCACAAATTAATAAAGTAAATACAATTCAATTATTCTATGAGTCAATAAATTTTGATAGGTCAGTTAATCAATCAGTTTTAAAAAGTGGTGCAATCACTGCTAAACGCGTATAAAAGAAAAAAAACAAAAAAATTATGCAGTTAATAAATCTAACTCGCGAGCCTCTCGTTACTTCTAATGAAGTTTTTTTTCCAAAATTATGAATTGGAAGGAGGTTCAGTCGTGGAATCAGCCGCTTACTTCTGACTGGATAACGCTTACTTCGTTTTAAAAGATTATTAAGAGTGATATTGCTTTTAGTATCTTTGTAACTAAGGTTTGAAGTGCTGGATTCAGTAGCGGCCGCGCTATCACTGTAATGTGCAAGCGGTTTGAATCTGGCATGAATAACCACCAAGCATTCAGAAAAAATAGTTTAACTTGTTAAACGATTTGTTTTGATCTTGGTGGATTTAAATGTGACAAATTGATTCTTAAGAAATGTATTAACAAGGTAAGATTTTAAATTTCAATAACATTACTTTACGATTAAAACTATATATATATATATATATGTTTATATATATATATATATATATATATATATATATATATATATATATATATATATATATATATATACATATATATATATATATATATATATATATATATATATATATATATATATATATATATATATATATATATATATATATATACATATATATATATATATATATATATGTATATATATATATATATATATATATATATATATATATATATATATATATATATATATATATATATATATTATATATATATATATATATATATATACTCACAGACTCCAATCAATGCAATTTTTTGAATAAAGGAATTTTATATTGAATGTGCAGTAACTCCAAAACAGAAACGGTCAGAGGTCGGTATTTTAGAGATCAGTTATTCAAATTTTGTATTTAATATATTTAATTATTTAATATAAGGTTTCCAAAATACTAAAAAGCAATATCGTTGCTTTAAATTTTATCAAATTTTGTTTAAGATGCAAACAAACGCTATGGAAGATTTGCTAAGCTGCATTGCACACAAAGAAACCATTTCAAATAAATTAAAAAACGTCTTCCTGTTATGTCAAAGGTAAAATAATACTTAATTCAAAGGAATAATACTTAATTCTACTACAGCACAAATATTAGAAGAGTATCCAGCATTAAGAATTGCTACAGAGGTGTGTTTTAACTTAAATTTATAAATCGATGGAGTAATAATAATTCAAAGTTGATAAATTTTAATGATTATAATTATGATTTGTAGCTATTAGAAGAGGTAAATCTCATAACTGGAAATGAAGGAACCAATAAAATAAACCAGTTCTTTACAGTTAAAAGATCTATAAAAGTACTGGAGATGGCCAAGTCGGGAAAAAGAAATGCTAAAAATATTGACCTGGTGAGTAACATTGTGGCTGCCATAGGATCTGAGTCAAATGTCAATATAGAAGGTTTATAATGTCTCTTTATTTTAAATCTATTTTATCTTTATTTATTTTAAAAAGTGTATACATATATTTAGCACAACAAATAAGAGCACCAATGTTGTGTTTGTCCGCCATGTTGTGTTTGTCCGCCATGTTGTGTTTGTCCGCCATGTTTGGTGAAAAAATTAAAACATGGGTCGTGATAAATAAGGTCTCATCAGTGTTTTGAATCCATTCTCGATGAGATTTTTTGATTTTTTAAGTGTTTTTGTTTTACTTTTGTCAACATAAATGTAATATTTATATTGACAGACAATTCTGATTTTTTTAGGAATCAACTCTAAGCACACCAACAATAAACATTACTTGCTCAAATCAAGCCAATATTCTGCATTTTGAAGATGTGCATAAAGCGATCTACCTCAATGGTTTAATTATTTGTAACGTTCTATCAATTGATGAAGCAATAATAGTCTTAATAGCATCTTACTGGGTTTTTGAAATAGCCTTTGATCCGCGACTGTAGAAAACATTGATATTTCTAGCCAATTATATTTGTGGGCTTAGTGAGTACTGTGTCAGTGCACCGGTTCAGCGATTGCTGAACAAGTTGTTGTAAACTTCTGTTTGTAATAAAAGTAAATTAGCTTTTTTTTAAACGTGTTGTTATCACAACGTCGTTACAAATTTTCAAATCTCATCAACAGCAAAAAAAAAAAAATGCAAAAAGCAAAATATGTAAAAAACTAAGTCTGCCTTTAAGAGTGGAAAAAAATACCTCATATATAGGGGTATAATAAAATACCTTAATAATATTCTAACTTAAAGGGTAGGATATATGATATACCTTTGAAGGTAGGCGAAATGGTATAATAAATAGACAGTTGTTTTCCGAATTCAGCCTAAAATTTTTTGTTACAATTTTGCGTACCTTTTTAATGGCTGGCCGATAATAACTTCATTTTTTTAAATTTGTGGTTTTATATTTTCAAGACTGTTATCCAGTCTCCCTCTGTTTCCTTCATTATTGATAAACCACTATTAAAAAATTCTATTTCAATTTTCGACTGATTTTTAATTTTTATTTTAGGTGCCCCAAGAAGTTCTTATAGTCTTATCACAGAGCACCGCGGAAGAATCTTTCTCCTACCCCGAACTTTCGCTTGTTAAAATAAATCGAGACTTAAGTTAAACTTAAATTTACTTTTCTAAAAAATAGTACACAAAATATTCATTTTTGTGACACAAAATGAACACAAAATGAATATTTTGTGACACTAAATGAACACAAAATGAACATTTTGAGACACAAAATGAACATTTTGAGACACAAAATGAATATTTTTAATCACAAAATAAACATTTTTTGACTTTTGTTATTACTAAACGTAATTTTGTATTATAAAAAAATAATGAAATATTTTGATAACATCTAAGTAGTATTTGATGTGCACGAGGTATTTTAGTGTGTTGAAACATTGCGTTTAGGGTTAGTAACTACCAAACTAAGTCTGTTTCTCGTCGCACCTTGTTTTACAAAGTTCGTGAGTCTTAGGTTTAAGGCTGAGAGAATTTTGAAAAAGAAAAAATTAAAAAAGTTATAAGCATCTTTGACATCTTTGAGGAGGTGAATTGAATTTAAAAAAATAAAATAAAAACTGCAGTTTAAGGCACAACTTAATTACATCCGAATATTTTTTAATAAATTAATTATCTATACAAGATTTTGTTTTACAAATTAGAGTTTATTTCAACTATCTTATTATTTTCAGTCATTTAATTCTTTCGCTATAGCAAGCTGTTGAAAGCGGCTTTTGTTATTGATTTAATTAATAAAAACAATCGTTTTGAACTCTATAACAAGGTTTGTATTGTAATCTTTAGCTCGTATTTTGAGCTCGAACATTTTGCAATTAGCTCGGACATTTTGCTTCGATTTTTTGACACAATAAGCTTTAAAAAAAATCCAAAAGGAAGAACTCACGTCATAGTTATGATGCAAGTATATAACTATAATTTCAAATATATTCGAACCTGTAATAAAGTCTTTAACTATTTTAAAAACAATAACGTTTGTAGTCAAAAAAAGTTTGGATTTCGAAAAATTACATATTCAACTGAATATGTAATTGTTGAATTAGTATATCAAATAAATAATGGTTTAATGAAAACCAATTTACATCATGTCTTTTTACCGATTTTGTTAAAAGCTTTTAACAACAACCATTGTGTTCTGTTGTTCTGTTATGAGATAATTAATTAGGTGAACTATAAGATTAAAAGTTACCTTACAGGTAGAAAATTCTATTCTAAATAGGAATATAGAACACTTGAAAATCTGATGTGGAATACCAAAGGGTTGATACTTACAGCTCACTAAATTTCTTTACTATTTTTTAGGGCTGCGGAAATTAACGATTAATTAGTCGATTAACCGCTAATTTATTTAATCGATTAAAATTTCTTTATTCAGTAATATTTCGATTAATTTTTGCCGGTTTTCCGTTACTTATTTTTTTGTTATTATTTTTTTTTTGCCGTATATATATATATATTAACAAGTTTCATAATTTATAATAGTAATATTTACAAGTTTCCTTAGTCAAAATATATAAACGAGATTATAATTATAATTAAAATAGTACAGACAGGACTTCAAGAAGATCGTACTGATCTTATCACGAAGCCCTAACAAGTGAATAATATATATTATGTTCAATATAGGTAATATATTATATATTAAGTACAACTAGTTGTATTAAAACTACACGAATATTAAAGTTAACTTTATTATTCTTCAATTAGAATAAATTGAAGAATAATAAAGTTAAAATCAAGATAAAATAAAAATTAACAAAAACAAGATGCAAGATAATAACTAAAAATTGTTCGATAATAACTAAATAATAGATAATAACTAAAAATTGTTCTTTTGAAAAAATAGCTCTTTTATTGTGTTGTGTTTAAAAAAGGCGTGGGTAAGCTCGATAATACACATGAACTATCAGTTTCACTTAGCAATTTGGTCGAAAAACTCAGAGAATTGGTTTAAATTCATAATCTGAATTTTTAAATTTGTTTTCAATGAGTTTCAGTTATCTTGATCACAAATAGATTTATTCTTGGTTGCTAGTTTGTTATATAAATAAGGACCCCGATATGATATAGAAAATTGGGAGAGTTTTGTTTTTTTGAATGGTATGACAAAGTCACCTGTTTCGCTTGTATTATATTTATTAACCTTATATATAAAGAAATTATTTGTGAAGTGGTACTTTGCCTAATTTAAATTTTAGCATGAACAATATATTTTGGTATATGTTAATTTGATAAATGTTAAGCATTAAAATTTATAAAAAAATATATCGTTTTTATATAAATCATTCGCAAAGAAGTTATTTTCAGTTTTAAAAGTTTTAAAAACGTCTAAACGCAACTTTTCAAAATCAATCGTTTCAAAGTCATTAGCCATGACGAAAAAGAGAATTAAATTTAGAATTTTTCAATAGAATTCGATAAATATAAAATTATTTTTGAAAGCGCGTATGTTGAAAATCTCGACTAAAAATTTTGTCATATTTTAAAATACTTATTAACCTGGGAACATTATCTTACATTTCTATATCCGTTTCTAAAGTAAACAAAGTTTGTTTCGCAAATATGGCAGCGGCAACTAATGAAAGCAACGTTTCTATCAAACATTTAACTGGAAAGTTTAGCAAGCATTTTGTTTTCAAGTTAAATGCTGATGGTAAAGTAGACGAAGGTGACAAAATATAGTGCGTTCACTGCAATAAACAGTTCGCTTTCCGTGGCTCAAACACATCACTGACTTATCACCTTCAGCAAAAGCATCCTCTGAAATATCAACAGGTTGTCGACAGTGAACGTAAGATGACCCCTCAGGTAAAATCAATCACCAATTTCTTTACGTGTCAGTCAAACAAGCAAGCAATAGCTCATTGGATTGCCAGTTGTGGACTTCCGACAGCAATTGTAGAAGATGCTGGACTAAAGGCGGTGCTTCGTATTGCGCTTCAAAACCAGACTTACACTTTGCCCAGTCGCCGTACAATCGACACTGTCATTGGAGAGATGTACAATGAGAAGTTGAATGAGCAGAAGAAAGCTCTAGAATGCATTCATAGTATTGCTCTAACTACTGACTTTTGGACCTCCACCAACAATGAATCGTACTGTAAGATAACAGGTCATTGGATTGATTCTAAGTGGAAACTGACGTCTGTTGCTTTAGCTTGCATAAATGTTGAAGAATGCGCACTGCTGATAATGTTGCTAGTTTCTATGAAGAGTTTGCCGCAACGTGGAACATTGCTGAAAAAGTTAGCTGTATTGTAACGGACAGTGCACGAAATATGGTTGCTGCTATAGGACGGACGGATTACAGCCATATACCGTGTATTGCACACTGTCTTCAACTGAGCATACTAACAGGTTTGAAAGCAGCTGATTCATCTCCTATTCTGGCTAAATGTCGACGCCTAGTTGGACATTTTAAGCGCAGTTCAAAGAATACATCAGAGCTAAAGGCCAGCCAAGCCAGCACCTCTAACAGGTCTGACGATGTAAAGTTTCACAAATTGCAGGAGGATGTAGCTACGCGGTGGAACAGTACCTACCTAATGTTAGCCAGATTGCTGGAAGTGAAAGATGTCATAAAGCAGTATCATATTGACCATCCCAAGAATTAAACTGGAGGTAAACTAACGGAGTTGAACTGGGACCAAATGTCAAAATTTGTCTCAAAATTGGGTCCACTTGCAGATGCTACTGAGTATATTGGTAGTGAACAGTATGCTACATGTTCGGCTGTACTTCCGTTAGAAGCATTTTTGCGCAGACTTCTGCGGGTTAATGATGAAGATCCAGGGTATATAGCATATTTCAAATCTGCTACACCGAATGACTTCAGGTCGCATTGAAAACATTGATGCATTGCCAATGTTGCAAATGGTTGTGGCATTAGACCCACGTTACAAGAAACTCGGCTGTCTCTCAAGAGAGAAACGTGAAGCAGTTTGGACAATACTTTCTAATGCATTTCGGGTGTACTGTGACCAAAGGCAGAGAGCTGAACGTGAAACTACTACCAGCACTGACGAGGCACCAGAACCTGTGCGTAAGAAACTGAAACTTACTTTGTTGGTCAGCGACTCGGAATCGCAATCCTCATCAGATAAATCACAAACAGTACATGGCTCGCTGGCTGAGCTCACACGATATCAAGAAGAAGGTGTCATTCCAGAAACTGAGAATCCCCTCATGTTGTGGCAACTAAACAGGCATCGTTACTCTAACCTGAGGAGTTTTGTGCAGACAATTCTGTGTGTACCTGCCACTTCTGTTCCTTGTGAAAGACTGTTTAGTTCGTCAGGGTACATTGTCAACAAACTGCGATCTTGTCTACTTCCAGAAAACGTTAACGTCCTCGTTTGTTTACGTGACTGGCTAAAGTGATGCTTATTTGTACTTGTCAAATAAACTGAATACAGTATAGCAGGCATTAAGTGTCTTGTTTGTTAACGTTTGTGAATACTGTAGTGAGTTAACGTTTACCGATAACAACTTCACCTCACCAGTGGTGAAAAGCAGGTTATTCTGTCGATATCAGAATTAATCGAAATTAATCGATTAATCGATTAAAATTTTAGACGATTAATCGAACAAAAAAAAAATTAATCAGTACCAACTCTACTATTTATAGTTTTAAATTATACGTAAACATCTTAATTATGCATAAGCGCCTTTAATTATGTATAAATGTTTTAAATTATGCATCAACCCTTATGTTTGTAGTTGATACAAACCTAATTTAATTGCATCAGACAACTTTATGCAAACATGAATTAAATAAGGTAAATGCTTGGTTTACGACAAATAAAGTCTTATTTACCACTCCCCCTCCCCTTCCTTATCAATGGATCCATTCCTGTATGAAAATGGATGTAGATTTTTCTAACATAAATTTTACATGAATTTTTTAATTCTTTATATATATTTTTTAATTTTTTATATATATTTTTATATATTTATTTTTTTAAATTTTCATTTTGAATGAGTAAATTTGAATTTCATCATTGTAAACAGAAATAAGCCATAAAACTGATTAACTTTAAAACTAACACAGAGAATGGAGAGTTTTATTTTTGAAAAATGTCTTTACTAAAGTTATATTACCTTATATAAACAAATTTTTATCTCTCATATCTAATAGTAAAGTGTAAAGTTCCTCAGTATTTGTTTTGTTATAAATAAACATAAGAGCATAAATATCTATTGCAAATGCAAATAATATCTTAATTGAATCTTTATGCAAAACTAAACTTGAGCAATTTTTTCATCGGAATTGCATCTGGAATTAATTAGTGCATCTGGAATTATTTATTTTATTTATAATACAACTTTAACGGTTTTCTTTAACTGCTTCTTAAATAACTTTTTAAATAATTTTAAAATTTAAATTTTTACATAAAAACTTTGTTGAATTTATTATTTTTTACTGCTTATATTTAATGGAGATAATACCTTTTTATTTTTCATTTAAAAAAGATTTTCAAATCTAAATATATTATAAATTAAATAGATGCTCTATTTTCAATTTTAATTAGTTTATAATATACTTTAATTTTGGTATTTTCTCATAAGGTTTGAAAGTTAATGTAATATTCAGATTTATTTAGTTTTATCTTACTTTACAGTTGTTTAAATCCACATAGGAATTTCATGAAGCCACAATTGTGGATTTAAACAACTGTAAAGTAAGATAAAACTAAAGAAATCTAAATATTACATTAACTTTCTAACCTCATGAGAAAGTATTGTGGCAACTCTCGTAATCCGTAACTTCTTTAAGTCTCCGTAAAAAATCATGTAATAAAAGAAAAGGTAAACCTATGATAAATTATATTGGTAAATTCAAATTAAATGCTTTAATTTTTACAAACTTAAAAAAGTCTTCTATATAAAATCTTCAGCTGTGTATAAAGTTTATAAATTCATAAAAACGGTTCATTTCCTTTAAATGTTTAAAAAGGAAGTAATTAAGATTTATACAATAAAAAAAAATTATTAGTTAACATATGGTAAAACTTTTATCTTATGAAAAACAAAAAAAAGAAAAAATCATGAGAAAATAGTTCTCTATTTTTATGTTTTTATGTGTCATGCCCTGTTTTTCAGGTGAGCTTCTTATGTAAACAATATATGTTTTTATTCTGTAACTAAATAAAAGACATTTAAAACAATGTTTTTACCAATCTTTTAATTAATCATATAAGATTTTAATCATTTGTATGATAATTTAGTATATAACCATATGGTTTGTTCTCCTCCTCTTTTAAAAAAATGCGATGTGGTTTCCCAAAACCAAATACGATACTGATTTGTGCATAAAATGCTAAATTATGCTACAAACTATAACTTTTCAGTAAATTTTTTTTTATTGTTGTTAAGCAAAGATTTAAGTATTGTCTGTTCAACAAAACTTGTTAATAAAAAGATTAGTTCTGTAAAATACTTTGACAAAAAAAAAAAAAAAAAAAAAAAAAAAAAAAAAAAAAAATTGGTCTAATGGAATAATGGCATTCAAAAGAGCAAATTTAAGTAATCTTTTAAATACAATGAATTTTTTGAAATTTAATTAAAGAAAAATAACAAACAAAGCTTTTTAGGTTCGAAAACAAAAGAATGCAATTACGAGTATATTGCACGCATACGCGTTTGTATATTGCGTGCTTACTCTTGAATATAAAATATATCTTATATTCTTTGTAAACCTAAGCTCTCCTACTGAGGAATACAAAATGGTTTTAAATGCGATAAGAAGTCATTTATAAGCATGTACATTGTTTTGTTTTTTTAAATTACATAGACGTTAAGAAAACTTTAATTATTTTGAACAATTGTTAGCTAAGTATATAATACAGCAGTATTACACTTTGAAATAATACTTTGTAGCGGGTCTGATGGACATAAAATTTTTTCTTTTATTTCCTAACTTAGGTATGTGATAAGAGCATTTTTTTTTCTCTTAATGAAACACAAAAGATGGAGAATTAAAAGTAATATTAAATTATATTAATGAAACGTTTTGCAGGATGCTTCTTTGCATTGATGACAAACTCAATAAAGACAAGTGGTAAGTCAAAGCGATTTTATTATTTTGAAAGCCACATCTAATATTAAACTACAATTCTATGAAAAACAAGGACTAACCATGATTTTTGATAGGAAGGATTGTGTAAATTATGTATATAATATAAAGCACAATTAAGCTTTACTGACAACTTATAAGTTTAAAATTGAAACAATCATAAAGTTTCGATTGCTTTAAACATTTAATTTATTGTAGTGTTTATAATAACGTAAGTTTTAAAATTTTCCGAAATGTTTTTAAATTTTTTTTTTGAGGTAAGCCCCTTCCTCCTACTTAGAATCATAAAAAACCATTATGCAAAACCAAACAAGAACAATTTAAAATTACATATCGTGCTCTGCATATCTGGAATAAAATCTTAGCAAAATATAGTAACTTACCAGGTGTAAATAATATAAATTGCTTTCAAAAACTAATAAAAAAGAATATTTCAAAGTATACAAATCTTATTGATGATTTCTTTTAAACTGCTTTGTTTTTTGTTTTCGTTTTTTTTTTTTTTGCATTGAAAAGTTTTTGGTTTTAATACTATTTACCTTAGTTAATTAAGTTTTGCTTTTAACACTATTATAGAAATTTAATATTGTAAATACATAATTAATACAACGGTTCTTGATGATAAGACTTAATGGTCTTCTGCAAGTTTCTTGCGTTTTTATATATATATTTTTATAATTAACTCTTTTTATTTTGTCTTTGATTTTTTATATTTATAACTGGTTTATTTTTGAAAGTATAAGAGTATTTTGTATTATATTACGGAATTTAATTCTAACAAAAGCAGAAAATGAATACAAAAAAAAAAAAAAAAAAAAAAAATCTTTTCAGTACTAACTTTTTGGGCCCGTAGATACCATTTATAAAATTTAATTTTCTATAAATGTTTTTCCATGCGTAGATTCTACATTTTAGAAACTTTAGATTTTTTAGTCGCGACATTATGCTTTTGACTTATCGAGATCATGGTAAAAAAAATTTAAAAATCTGGTTTAAAACAAATAATTTTATTTGGAATGCTTCATTCTGCTGTACTTCTAGTTAAAGCAAGCAAAAACAGATCAAACTATTAAAATTTAAAAAAAATTAATTTGTAAAGATTAATTTGTAAAAATTTCTTAATAGGATACATGATGAGTCGGCTCCAATTGAAGATATTTAAGTAAACTTTATCACTGTGATTCATACGTCCTTTTTTATAGTGGACCTGTGGCTTCTTTTTATTTTAGAAAAATAATCACCAAGGGGATGTCACTATAACTTATATAACTTTTAAAGTATTTGAGTTTTTTGTTCTTTAAAAAGATTAAGAACTGATTTATCATCTAATACAAACATTATTAAATTTTAAAACAAAGAAACTTTACGCAAAACAAAATTTTTAATTTTATGTCTAATTACAATATGTTTTTTTTGTTTGTAAATAAAATAAATTAAATATACGTTTTACATTACAAATATCAATAAATCAAACATTTTAAAAAACAGACCCGAAAGAAGACCCCCTTAATAAAATGTAAAAAAATTAAATGAGTCAGTTAAAAGCTATTTGTTTATATAAAATAAATATACTTTCATTATTTTCAAATCTATTATTACAGTTTAAGTAACACTTTCATATCCTTTATTTTCTATATATAGTTGCTTTTTATTTTAAATACTTTTTAAGTATGTAAACATCTAGTTCTCCGCCTATTGTTTGTAAAAAGCTAATTAGTTTGTAATATGACAAACTCTATTATAAATTCGATACAAACGGACTTTCTGAATCGTACTAAGTCTCTGACAGTGATATGACGTAAACGAGTAATCTAAATATCTTAAACATCTTTAAGTTTTGTGTAAGAGTAGCATAGGAAAAGAATTTATTATTTTAAATGCATTAGATTCAAAAAATAATATTTTTATTCAATACATTTGAGTTTTTTGTTTACGTATATTTTTGAGAAAAATTGTTATCTGGATTGTTACCAAGAGAATCTATGCTTGAGTTTACGAAATCAAGTTTTTCAAAACCATTATTTGCAATTTAAGATGAGTAAAAGAAAAATTAAAAAAAAAGTTTATATACAAGTAAATTTTTGATAATTTTTTTTGCGCGATACTTAAATTTTAATTTCCACTCATTTTGTCATTTTGCTCGAATTCACAAATAAATAGCTTGTTATAAATAATACGTAGTCATAGAGGGGTGTCTAGTACCCCTAGAAAATTAATTAATCGGCAAATTTGTACATTGGAGTTGGCAAAATTTGATTTGTTGTTGGGAGTCAGAAAATGTCAGCCAACAAGATCTTTTCTTTTCTTTTTTTTTTTAAGTTCTTAATCGGCAAAAACGATTTTCTAGGTCTTACTCGGCAAAAAAAACATACGTCACCCTCAACTTAAGATTTCTTTAGGACGGCCGTGGGTGTAATAACATTTTGTATTTGTTATATGCTTTATTATATAAAAAGTTATTTTTACTTTGCCTATGATGGATTTTTACAAGATTTTCGTCTCGCTAAAATCTTCTTTAATATAATTATCAAACTTTATAGTTTAAAGACGTCATACAATTTTAAAAAACGGTATCAGGTTAATTATGCCAATGAAAATTTATATTTATAAAATATTTTTAATATTTTGGCATAATATAATTTGAAAATAAAACGTTTGAATGTTTGTTGTTGATAAAAACGAAGTTCAATAAAATTTTATGACTAAAAGCAAGGATAAAATAGTAAAAACTTTATCTCTTTATATAAACACATAACTAAAATGATGTTTAATTCTAATATATGTTAAAAAGATTTTTAATACTTATATACTTAAATATGTTACACAGCCATAAAATAATAATAATTCATAAATGGAAATTCTCCTTTTAATAAATCGAAGATTTTTTTAGTAGCGAAACTCAATTTTTTTAAAATAAAATTGATGACCAAAAACATAGTTTACTTGACTTCACAAGCTTCCTTTCAGTTTGTGCACACTCTATGCCTCACACACTTTGTATGTGAGACATAGAGTAATTTATTAGAGACTTTTGCTAAGCAAGTATGATAGAACTTAGCTAGCTGTTGCTCAGTTAGGACAACCCTTTAAAAAGTTACACCTAGTTACAGTTGTTTAAAATCTTCTAAAACAAAAAGACAAATATATTAAAACAAGAATAGGTCAATTCCATGAAATCAACTTAAGTAAACCAAAACTCGTTGATTTCACGGGTAGTTTACTCGTCTTCATGGCAAACATTATGTAATCATATTTAAATTTTTTTGCATTTTTTTGTTTTTATCAAAACTAGATCCCGAGAAAAAATGGGTCGCATCCATATTCGTCAGAAAGACATTTAAAAACTTTATTTCATTACTGAGAGCAAGTTAAGTGGATTGAAATAACATTAAACATCAATAAATTGTTAGTTTCTTAACCTTTAATTTCTGTTTAATTTTTATTCCTATATTTCAATAAGCTCAATTTTAATAGTAAAATTTAAAATTTACTTTTAACAGTTTACGTTGAACGAATGTCATACTTTGCCAGAAAATAAATTGGTTCTAAAAAAACTATAAATTTCTAATCGTTTCTAAAAAAAATCTTATTTCTAATCGTTTCAACTCGAAATTTTGAAAATAGTCTTGTTAACCTTTTATAGCCAAATTTTTTCAGACTGAAATCCAAATGACGTATAGTAGTTTTGAATCAACCACTTTTTATTCTGAAATCGATAAATACACTTGATAAGATTACTTGTTTGATTGGCATTGATGAATTGATGACAAGTTTAATATAAGCTTTTTTTGAATCCTAAAAATTTGAATCCTAAAAAACTAAATTGCCTGAAGTTTTAGAGTCTTAAAAAGATAAAAAAGACTTTTGTCTTTTGAATACAAATGCTATTTTAATTTATAATTTTAATAGCTTTCAATTTTTGTAACTTATTATTTACAAAATCAAAAACTTTTTGCATAGAAAATTGTTTTTGAAAATGAAAAACAGAAATAGTTCAACTTGCCCCCCGACAAAAAGCGTTTACAATAAAAATAGTACCCTAGAACCGTCTATTAATAATAATGATAATTTTTATTTTCTCTTCTAGATGTTTCGATTTTTCAAAAAGAGAAAATTGATTTATGCCAAGTTAATTCTATCAAAAAATTGTTAGCAAGCTTTAGAATAAGTTCTGACTCTCCGTTATGCATTTTGCAACGAAAAAGAGGTATATGCTTGAAATAAATGTTTATTATGAAATTGCAACTTTTTAACTGTAAATGATATTATTACTCTAAAGATCATGCCAGAATAAATTTTTTATTATAGACAACGAAAACTATGAAAAATGATTTTTTATGCCAAGTGTGTGTAGGTGCTATAATTTAAAAATATACCCAGCGAGAATTTGTTTTTTAAAAGTTACGTTCTAAATGTATTTTAAGTGTCCTTTAAACGTTTTCTAAACATTCTTCCGTAAAGAACGTTTAAAAGACATTTAAAAAACGTTTAAAAGACATTTCGAATGTAACTTTTAAAAACAAATGCCCGTATTGTGAATATTATAAATAAAGTAGATATTATAAATATAGGTATTTTATAACTTTATTCTATTTTACAGTGACTATTTACAGTTTACCATTACTTTTTCAGTTCCAGTTTAGGATTGTATTTATTTGAATACAAGTTCAAAATAATGGTTAATAAAAGGTTTCAAAGTTTTTATTTCTTTTTGTTTCACTCATTAGTTATTATTTGATTTAGTTTAGTTTCACCCAATCAGTTTGGCTCTAGTTTAGTTTCAACCAATCAATTTGGCTTTAGTTTAGTTTTACCCAATCAGTTCGGCCTTGGTTTATTGTTAGAGCCATACGATCAATAACCATAAACTAGAGCCGAGCTGAAAATGTATAGAAAATTAAGTTACTTTGGGTTATAATATTTTATATTATATTGTATAATATTTGGGTTATCACATTTCTGATAATTTTAATTAGAAAAATTATGGAGTTTCACAAAACCGGATTTTTTTCTTTACAATTGATTAATTTTTAATTTTAGATATTGAGCATTTGATCTCAAGTTTTGTTGAAACTCTTTTTGAAAATCCAAATAAAAGAACTTCAGGTTTGAGTTTAATACATTTTGTAATTTTTATGTAATTTTTCGCTATTATTGGCTTAACTAGTTTAGGTAATTTACAATATTCAATTATTTCTTTGTAATGTTACTAAAACCTCTTTTTATATATTGAGTTTTTTATATATTGAGTTTAATTTAGTGTAGTGGATGGCCAGAAATAAAATAAAAATAAAATTAAAAGTATTTAGGAAAAACCTTATTTGTTATACCAGCCAATACATATATTATAATATGTTATACGAGCCAATACATATATTTATTACTGGCTTTACTTAGCAATGCAATTGCGAGGGGTTAAATTTAAAACATTTTAGTTTAAAACCGTCTAAGGTTGTGCTTTCCCTAATCATTTGAATCGTTAACTTGTCCAAAAAGAGTCTTTATTTTGACTTACAGAAATTTATTTATAATAAAATTATTGGATGATCAACAATGTGGCAGAAGAAATAATTGGACTAATGACACATTTTGTCCTCTTTTTTAAGCCAACATTAGCATGGCACAAAAAAGCAACTTTTAAACATGTTAAATTTAAAAGATTTTGTGGCTTTTCTGTTATTTTAACATATATTGCGGATAATACGGTCTGGTTTACCCTTTAAATTTTTGGGCGGTTTCTTAGAACAAACTTCTCTCCGTTATAACTATTTTATATTTTTTAAACACTTGTTGAATATTTTTTTTTAACATAAAATAGTTCTTTTAAACATAAAATCAAGAGATATTTGTGAGTTTTTTTTAACCATACAATCGAATAATGTCATTTAGTAATTACAGTGAACATAAGAATATAGAGGATGTATGTTCTCATCAAAGAGATGTCACCGTCAATTAATTTTTGCAATTTAAGGAGGTGAAAAATTTAAAATTTTTAAAAATTTTGATATAGATTATATATTATATAGATATTTCTTACCGCAAAACTTGGTCTAGATGAAGAAGACTCAATACAAAAAATCTTTGATAGCAGTGGCAACATGGTGTGAAGTGAGATTGCGCAATGGTATGATGATATTTAATGTCAAATATTTTAGGGATAAAGCAACTAAAAACAGCAACGTTAACGAATTAAAGAATGGCTTGATAAGTCCAAACAAGTCAACTAAAATATCAACAGATATAAATCATCATCAGATATGAATATGATCAGATATAAATATGATAAGTATAAATATAATCATGTATAAATATAATAATGGCTTTTAAAAAATATATATCATTTTCTTAATGGCAATCAAAAAATAAAAAAAGAAGGGAAGATTTATTACATGAATGAACTTTTTTTTTACTCCATTGCAGAGAAACAACACAAGGCAATAGTAGTGATAACAAGGCAATAGTAGTAATACTATCCATAGTAGAAATATAACTAAAAAATCTTATACTACCAAGGTTGAAACACAAAAATCTAAACCGTGAAAATAAAATAAGTTTGTAACTTATTATCCTGTTTTCAATGTGATAAAAAGCCACAAAAAAAAGTTATTTAGAACCCAAAAGGTAAGCAAAACCCAAACCCGTAAGAGAGAACGCAACTTTGAAAATAAAGTTGTAAACAACAGAAGTTCAATTAAAGGCAAACGTACTAATTAAATTTTTCTTCGTAGGTGGAACTTTCTCCTCCTACTTTGTAGGAGGAACTTCGTAGGAGTATCTTTATATCGAAAGATTATCTTTTTAACGGTATATATAAAGAAATAAGAGCTTAAACTTTAGGCGTCAAACATAACCATGAAAACATTTGCTATCGTTTCTTCAATGCAAAAATCAATTGTGCCAAAACACACGTGAAATGCTAAGAATCGAAAACCTGTATCAGAATACAAAGCCATATTTTATTTATTCCAAAATATGTTTGGAAGAGTATACGGTTTGTTAACTTTTAGTTTTAAACTTAGTAAATGCATTTACTCGTTATTTTTATAAAGGTAAAAATAATAAAATCGTTTATTAAAATCAAAAATCAACTCTCTTAACATTTAAGCAACCTTTTGTAAACTGAAGGTATAAAATTGTTAAAAATCTTGGTGGGCGCCGGAGCATTAAAAATGCATTAATAACTTCTGTTTTCATTATAAACAAAAGCAAATATCTGTTTATTTGAAGAATGCATAATCTGCATTTAAAGCACCACGCAATCAAAAAATCCACAAATAGACAAAAAGTTTTAATTCCCTTGATGGTAATTCCCTTGATGGTAATTACTTTGATGGTAATTACCTTGGCATTACAAACCATCAAAGATTTTTAGTATTACATTTGCATAATCGAAAAACAAAAAAGAAATCCAAAATCAAATTTAAATTAACAAATAAAAAAAAAATGTAATACTACTTGGTTCATTATATAAAAATATAAATACTACTTGGTTCGACACAATAAACGTTTAAATAAAGAGCTTAACAGCTGAAGTTAAATCATTTAATAAAAAACATTTAATAACATAATAAATCATTTAATAATAAAACATACATTGGTAATTTTTATGTTTTATTATTCAAAATAATGCATAATAAAACTTAAACAATAATAATATCTATAGTTGTTATGAAATAAGTGCTAGACATCTTAAAAAATCTTGTAACAATATTCTCGGTATGTTACTTTTTGCTTTTTCTATTTAACAGTATCTTGCTAAATAGAAAGGTTCAAACATGTTTATCAACCATCAAAATTCTTCTTACTAGTTTATTTTTACAATTTCAATTTTTTTTTTAATTTATTTAAATTTTTATTTAAATTTATTATCAAAATTCTCCTTACTATTTTTTTAAAATATGTTTTGATAAAAGATGCGGGCCAAAAGGAATCTTTATATCTCTGTTTTTGTCCAGGAACTCTAAAAATGATGGTAGACATGATTTGCATTAAGAAAAAAATTAACGAAAATTAATGACTTAAACCCTGTTATTTTTTAGTCCTGAGTCTTTTTCACCCAATCAGTTCGGCATTAGTTTATGCTTAGAATTACCTGTCATTGTAGACTAAGACTCTGGGTTTAAAAACTGGTTGTTCCTGTGATCTGAAAGTCTTTTTCCCCTTAAGTAATCCATAAGCTTAAACTTACATTTTTGGAGCTCCTAGATATCAAATTATTGAAAAAAAAAACAACTTATTTCACATGGATTTTATCTGGGTTCCCAAAAATGCAACAAAGAACCACATTAAAAGCAATGCGGGACAAGCGCTTTTTTTTCACTGGGAAAAACAATAAAGAAATAATCTTTGACTTTTAAATCCAGAGTCCTTTTTGGAACTCCGCATCCCTGGCTTTGGCAATCTATATATTTGATAATTAGAAATTTACTGATTATTAAAAAGTTTATTGAAAATCTGTTTAAATACATATGTCTAGAATTAAAAGGAAATAATCACCGTCAGTTTGGTTTTAAACAATAATGCTCTTCACACAGAGTTTCTTCTAATTAAATTAAAGAAACACTATTGAAATTATAATATCTTTTAGCTGTACCAAAGTTTGGATTAGAACTGTGTGCTCATAACGTCACTCATTACTTTTGTTATGAGTGACGACATGTCAATCGTTCGGCTCGTAATAAATAAAACTTAAGGCCGTTCTCCACTAGACAAAATATTCGAGCAAAGCGAATTTTTTAATCGATAAGCATGCGCAAATAAAACATTTTTGGCAATCATGCTGATACAGCGTTTCGCTGCAGCGAAAAAAAAAGACGGATTCATTTCGACTTTTTGCAAATCGCCATAAGCAAAAACCAATCAAGTTTTGAACATTATATCACGTGATGTCAACACTAAAAAAAGCAGAAATACGTTGTTTTTGAAACAAAATTCCTAACCTGGCGTTCTTATTGATTTTCTATGAAATCACTCTGAACATTGACAAGCATTAGTAAATTGATCAAGTAAGGAGCAAGACTTTAATTGAGAATTTACAAATGTAAATTTTCGCACTGTCAAGTGCGAAAATTTACGTTTGTAAGTTTACATTTGTTAAATGTAAATTTTACAAACGTAAATTTTTAAATTTACAAACGTAAATTTTTAAATTTACAAATGTAAATTTGAAAATTTACATTTGTAAATTTAAATTTGTCAAGTGGCTACACAAAAATAAACCTTTTTATGAAAAAAGCCTACATGGAGTTAAACCTTCTGTTCGTTTTTGCAGTAACAGTTTTTTTAACAGAAATGTTCATATCATTTATTTCCTTATACTTTCTTATAAAAACCTTATGTTAAATTATTATATTTCAAAATAATATCACATCTTATATACAAAGACAGATTTATTAAAATTAGTTTATACTTTAAAATAGAAAGTATGCAAAAAAAGTAATAACTGCTTTTAGATAAACAGCGTAAACTTATTGTTGCCATTTTCGTTGTTGATAATGAAAAAAAAGTGCAAAAGAAAGTGGAAATCAAAACGGCGTTTTGTCATTGCGAAAAAATTCGCTTCGCACGAATGTTTCGTCTTGTGGAAAAAAACGAATATTTCGTCTTTTGGAAAAAAACGAGTATTTCGTCTTTATTTACTCAACTAATTAGCTATAAAGTTATTAAACATCTTTATACGTGACTAACTTGTACGAAATTGTTTACCTATTATAAATTCTAAATAAACTTAAATTTTAAAATGATCTCGCTAATGATGAATATTACAAAGAAAAACATAAATTATATATTGCTTCAACGCTTTCTGCTAAAAAATTTGTTTCAAACTTTAATAGAAACATCATAGGATGGTATTAACATTTCCAATATTAATACCACCTGGTTCTCTGCGCGTTCAAAAAATACCAAGTTGTTGAAAAGCTATGAACAAGACTTCTTTATTTTGATTTATTTGGTTTATTTTCTATCATCTGCTTGATTTTAAATTTGGTGGTTTTTAAACCCACCAAATCATAACCAATTTGCTGACACTTTCAAAAGTGTTTTAGTATAATTATTTAAAGTCTTTTCCCTAATATATTTTTATTATAAGAAAAGGAAGACCTGCA